GTTTTCCTTTTCTTTTATGTTGCCTTGCTAAGTATCATTTCTACCACTTGGCTATTATTTCCTTACGAAATTAATATATTACCCAAGTGATCGATTACCTCAACCAATGTCGCTCTTATCAATAATCCAGCCTTTTCCGGTAAAGGAACTTGCACGGGTGGCCAGTTCACAAGAGGAATGGTAATTTGAGATAATCGTTATGGTATGTATGAGCAATGATCCCCATTTCTGAAGCATCAAATGCGCTGGTTCTGAAACTTTTGAGCGCGATGAAACCTCCCGCCAGGGCTGTGTCTATGTGAAGTACATCATATCGGTTTTTCGGGATCGTTCAGTTTCTCAAGCTCCAGATCACCGTTCACTGTGAGGACCCGACGATTAAAATCCTTTTAGAATCACTTTATCTTTGTTGAGCCTGGTGAACTTCCCCTCTTTCGTTCAATCTTCCTCTGTGCAGCGGCTGTATTCCTCAGTGAAGGGGATGCCCTTGAAATTTTTCGCCATGTTGCCTATCATATGTTCATATCTTTAGCGGTTTTATTCGATAATGTTTTGGTGATCTGGTCTGTCGTTGGTGAATCGCTTTCCCTCAGCCAACCACTTTTCTTTTATGTACCTCCAACCCTTTCCTCAATTCTGCCATCAGTCTATGACCTTGTCCTCAGAGCTTGAACGGACATTAGAAGGGTTTAATGCATCTCAGAGCAATATATTTGAACCTGGCCATGATAGCTACCAATTCCTTTTTTGGGTTGATTGATATTTTATCAGAAAAATTTTACTGATTTTATCAGGTTATCTTTGGCTTAACCTATATCTGATATTAATTTTAAATTAAAGCTTCACTGACTTTTTTGTTCAGGTGACATGGTCACGCAACCAATACGATTGGTTCCGGCCCCTCAACAACCAATTATGCCTAGCCAATTTTTCACTTATGAACCGAATTTTATGATCAATAGTGAGTGACGTATTTGGATTTTTATTATCTTTTTAGTATATTAATCAATATTGATTTTTATTTTCTACTTCACTATTTTTCTACTATGTTTTATTGTTCTTTAAATTTCCATATTTGTGACCGTTTGATGATGTACCTACTCTCAGATGGTACATATTAAGGGNGGTTCCGGCCCCTCAACAACCAATTATGCCTAGCCAATTTTTCACTTATGAACCGAATTTTATGATAAATAGTGAGTGACGTATTTGGATTTTTATTGTCTTTTTAGTATATTAATCGTTATTGATTTTTATTTTCTACTTCACTATGTCTTCTACTATGTTTTATTGTTCTTTAAATTTCCATATTTGTGACCGTTTGATGATGTACCTACTCTCAGATGGTACATATTAAGGGAAGTAGTTGTTCTAATTGGTTTAGCTAATGACTAATCAACTTTATAACTCTTGCCGTGGTCGAATGGTGCTATTCTTTTGAGGCTTGACTTTAACAGACTTCGAAGGTAGAATCGAATGGTTTTTATTTGGGGAGGAAGGTCAACTGTTTCTTTATTTCAAGTTCGTGAAGTGCATATGCTTCCGAAATTGGCCTATACCGTTGTACTAACGTCTCGATGACCGTATAGAAGTGGCGATTTCTAGGGCTTTTTTCTATGGAACTGGGCAATAAGCTAAAGCTGTTAAATAAGCTGCCTATAAGTAGTGTTCATAACAACGAAACGCTTGAGAGAATTTGTAGACATGTCCGGCAATAGTTTGAATGTTTTCCCCCACAAATGACTACTTATCCATTTATTCTTTCGTTTTTTATATGTTTACTTATTCATTCAATAACTTGTTTATTTTATTTGTCGCAGTCAGAGTGAGCAAAAAGCGAGCTTAAAGGAAAATGTTATACATCAAAAGCTTCCTTTAAAAAATAGTTTCTTCCAGTACATCCTGATATTTGTCTTGCGGGTTGTGTGTTGCATATGTTTGACATGGACCGAATATTTACGGATAAATTGGATTTGCCAAGTATCGTGCTGGCCATACGAATGCATGGCGGAGATATTGAATTTGGAGCAAAAGCATATGCGGAACGGTCATCAGCTATCACACACGTCATCGTGGATTCGATAAGGACTCAGCATGCACATTTGGTATGAGATTTTTTATTTTTCCTTTTCATTCTTCCTTCTAAATCCTTTCTTGTATGTTTTTTTTTACAGTTGTGAAAAAAATTCGTACATATTGATTGTTGAAGCTTCGTATACCGATGACCTCCTGTTCAGGCTTTGAAAGATCGTAAACGTTTGGTGACAATGCAATGGCTGGTAGATGTACTGTTGAAGAAACAAATGGATGTGCCGTGGCGGCATGCCCATCTGCCGTCAGTGTTCATAGATGGCTGCAGACCGCTTCTGGGCAAAGTGAGTTGTTCAAAACTCATCGTACACGGGTAGAACGTCTATTGCTGCTGGAATCGATAAAGAGGTCAGAGATAGAGATTCTCTTTTCAATACCTTGAATTTAGTTGGTCTCATTCTCTGGATATGACGAAAGTGAACGGGCTGCAATGAAATTCATGGTGGAGGCAATGGGTGCAAGATTCACACCCTATTTAAGCCGTCACAACAGCCTCCTGATCGCCAAGGCGTTAGTTTTTCTACATATTTGATTTTTGAAGGTTCACCTTTTGTCAAACTTCTGGGTTGAGTTGGGTTTTCAAAAATTTGTTCATTTTCAAGAATCGTTTAATGATGCGGCACGTTTTTTTTTTTGAGAATATTTGTTTATTTAATTGAATGATTGGGGGTATTTCGGCTCTATCAGTTTCCACTTGTGATGCGTGATCTTTTATTTTTTTCCATCAGAATTATTTAGTGCTGGAGTTGAAAAAGTGGAAAAAGCACGTGAATGGGACATTCAAGTGGTAAATTATCAATGGCTAGCTGATAGTTATGCTGGTTTAAGGGTAGATTCTGAAAATCAGCGATATCAGGTCAGTAATTTCTTGGAATATGAGAAAATTTTTTCAAATTATGTCAGTTTGTATATTTTTTCAAACTTTGGTCAAGTGATTTTGAATTAATTTTGTGATTAGGTTGGTCAGCCATGTGAAGGTGTATCACCAGGTCCCTATGTCTTGGAAACAATGAATGACCAATTCAAACAACTTTTGCGTGAGTATTTGTTCCTTTTATTTTAACCATTTATAGCAACAATTCTCAATTTTTCGTGGACTGCTTCTTCTATTTATATATATATATATATATATATATATATATATATATATATGTATATATATTTATTTATTTATCTGTTTGCTTATATTTTCGAATTTTTCTTGCAGTTGCCTGGAAAATGCCGGTGATCGTATCCCCAGAGCAATGGAGGCGTTCGTTTGATGCCAAACAGGCTGTTGAGAATGATGAGGGTGTATTTCCGAATAAGAAGCTGCGGTATGCGTTTTATTCTCAATTTGAAATCTTTCTTTTTCATTTGTAGTGCTCTTATTTTCACGAGTTGATTTTTGTCTGTTGTCATGCTTTTTTTACCTTTTCCATGCTTTCACCTTTACCTTTTTACCTACCTTTTAACCTGATATGATAAGAACTTTTGCAAAGAAATCTCTAAGGCTGGTTGTGAAACCATTTTTAAATGGCTTGAATTAGAATTATGCATTTTCTATGAAACGCGAAGGCATTTGTTCGAAATGTAAGAAAATAAGGCCCCTGTCTTGTGAATAGACAGAAGTTTTTTTAAAGTTTTGTTAATGCTGTCTTTCATATTGCAATCTTACGATTTTACTTTTAAATCAGTGAGAGGTTTTACTGTAATGGTTTTGTTGAATTATTCAATTATTTGTTTAATTTGATTTAATGTAGTTTGCTTTCCAGAATGCAGTCTGCACCTCCCAGTGAAGCAGAAATTGCTGCAAAAGCACAAGACTACAAGAAGTTTGGCGATACGTATCCCTCCTACGTGGTTGCTTTCAGTGGGATCGACGATGAAAATAAACACGTCTTAACCCAGGTAAATCATCTTCAATATCTATGGGCAATTTATGTAGGTTCGAACTTTTTACTGTTATTCTATACTCTATAATTTTCAGTCATTTTCCTTTACCTTTCCTGTTTTAGTGATACCTTCCTATTCGCTACGCTTGAGTTATGAATCAACGGTAGAGTGTTTATCGTTCATTGTTTAGAAACTACGGTATCTGGGTGGACGAGCGGTGGAGGAGGTTTCTGAGTGTACACATCTGGTGACGACGAATGGCAGACGCACGGAGCGACTATTGGAAGCGATCTGTTTGGGGAAGAACATCGTGAATCCTTACTGGATAGTGCACGGATATGAGTGCCGGCAGTGGATGGGTATGTTTATTGGATCATTTGTTTCTTTACTTAGTTTTGGAATAAGCACTGTTGGGAGTTTTCTATTGAGATGTCAATTTCTTTTCGAGCTTTTTTGCTTTCGTTTAGGCAAAGCAAAAACTACCTCTTTTTTCGATCCTAAGGTAGAAGTTTTCTTTACCAGCTTCCAAGTCGGGTACTCACCATTTTTTACATTTAGATATTAGCTTTTGCAGCTTTCCTTCAACATTTACTGAGTGCTTGTTCAGATACACTCGATTACTTCCTGCATGACGAAGACCAAGA